GGCGCCCGCCTCCGTCCCGCCGGGCTGCAGCTGCGGGAGGGGCCCGCGCCCCGCTCTTAGTGCGCCTCCGCCTCCCGCTCCGGCGCTGTCTCCTCCTCGCTCTCTACCACTAGCTCTCTGCTTCCGTCCTACCTACCTCTCGCTCTCGAGCTCTAGCTCCTCTCTCGAGCTCTGGATCTGTTTCTCTCTTTCTCTCGATGTATAATACCTCTCTCTATATATATCTGTCTCTATATCTATATCTTTATATCTGTATCTACAAACACACCTTGCTCTCTCCTCTCTCGGTACCAGTGGTTTTCAGCACTGTTTCATTTGTGGACCCCTTTGGACATGTGGAATGGAGGTGCGGACCACTTTGAATTGTAAGTGCGCGTGTTCGCTGCTTTTCATTGATCATAGCCGTCTTTTGCAGGCTCCTTAGACCTAGTCTGTGGACTGCCAGGGGTCCGCGGACCTCAGGTTGAAAACCGCTGCTCTGGATTTACCTCTCTCTCTATCAGACAGAGACCCGGCTAGTCAAAGCCTTGGCTGGGATGATGTAGTTGGGGATGGTCCTGCTTTGAGCAGGGGTTTGGACTAGATGTGACATCCTGAGGTCCCTTCCAACCCTCATTTTCTATAATTCTGTATCTCTAACTCTGGATATCTCTTTCTCTCTTTATCTGTATCTATATATCCATTTCCATATCTGATCTAGATGTAGCTAGTATCTGTCTGTCTGCTTTGGTTACACTGTCAGGTGCAAATCTCCCCTGCCTCTCACAGAATGTGGCCCAAGGACTGTCACTAACCCTGCAAACCTTAACTTGCTCATAGTAAGGACAGGTTTGTTTTTATGGACCTAAATGTTCAGAGGAAAAATCTTGCTGATGTTTGGATGTGTTTAAGTCAAGTTGCTGTCAGCTCATTGTTACTAAAGCTTTTTCATAGGTTCATGTCTAATCTTTTCCCTTGCTGCCACTAAAATATTACAGAGCACTTTTCTCCCTCTCTCTCTCTCAAACCCTAATTAATCCTACTAACACTCAAAGCAACACTTCTTTTTCACGCATCTAGACTCATGCTCACAAGTTCAGAAGTTCCTGAGTGTAAAGAAAATTATTTGAATGTAGTTATTTCTGTTCAAAATGCTTTAAAGTAACAGCCTAAACAAGAGAATTTGGAGTCTGACTGTGATTTAGTCAAACTCGTTCCAAGTGCTGCGCACCCCCACATCTCCATGCAGCAAACAATGGGATCTGCCTTTATTATCACACAAAGCATTGAACCTTTACAAGAAAATGTATTTTGAGAAGTGCTCTGGTACCTATCTGTTTAATTACTGGGTGGCTTCTATAAAGGTTAAAAAACATAAAAGGGGTTCACATGGAAACGAAGACAAAAAAATCTCATTTGTAGGTTGACTTGTGTGATTTTACTTAAACAAAAGAAGCCTTTGTTTAAAGCACTAGAACAGGAACTCAGGAGGTTTGGGTTCCATGTTCAGTTCTGTCAGAGGTTTCCTATGAAACACTGGATAGGTCAGTATATCCAAATCCTCAAAAGTATTTGAGCATCTAACTCCTACATAGGTGCTTAAATACCTCCTGTTCACATTGTTTTCCATATAAAATGCTCAGATTCTCTAAAGAGGTGGCCAGCAACCTCCAGCCCTAGAGCCCTTGTTTTGAGCATTTATATAGTTGAGATGTGACAAGACATAGAAAATGGGCAGAAATTCACATATAAAATGAAATAGGAAACCTAGGAGTCATCCTTTTTAGTTCTTTTTAGGTGTTTGATTTCAGTGGGAATTAGATGCCTAAAAAACTTCGGAACTGAACCCAAGTCTCTTGGCTATGGTTCTCCATCTTTAAAACAGACACTCTTTGTGAGAGTGGTGTGAGGATAAGTTCATTAATCTTTGTGGGATGCTGAGATATTTCAGTGACTGGAACCATGTAAGTGCCTAGATAGAAGTTAAAGTAGACTTATCATATAAACATATTGTGTGTTTATCTCTCCTGGCTACTCCAGGTCTTTGTTTCTCTCTGTCCCCAGAGTATCAGACTGCTTGCTTGCAGGGCTGCTCTTAAGTATAATTTGACAGGTTTTGCTTGTCTTATCTGTTTGCAAAGTCCATTTATATTTCTAATTTTAAAGAATATAGGATGGTGGATAATGGTACAAATATTCTGTTGGTATGGGTTTGGAGGAAGTTACACAAGGAGCATTAATAACAGTTCTGTACCCCCTTTATGGTGTTTTGCTGGCTGCCTTTATGAAAAGTTATTTGAGGGGATTTTTTAGTTTAAAATTATTTTTGGCACAATTGTTTTCTCTCTCTATGCCTGTAATTTATCTCTGTGCTCTTTTAGCTGTTTGTTGTATTCATCCATTGTATCTTGGACTGTGTACTCTGTGGGGCAGGGATCATTTTGGCTAATACAGTAAAGCCCCAATCCATGACAGAGATTTTTAAGGTGATAGAGCAGTACAAGTGTAATACTTTATTAAAATCAATTCAAATAACCTTAGCTAGACAAAGCTTTGAGTGGGATGATCTAGTTGGGGCTGGTCCTGCTTTGAGCAGGGGGTTGGACAAGATGACCTCCTGAGGTCCCTTCCAACCCTAACTTTCTTTGATTCTATGATCTGTTAAATAGAAGAGTCAGGGATGCATCCTCTGACAGCCCTAAACCAATGACGGTTGATGCCAGGGAAGATATGGTAGGTGTTGAATTACTTTGGATATACCCCATTCCTATATTCTTCTTATAAAAAAATATTTTTGTTTGTTTGTTATTAATTTAAATTTATACGCCTCCTTTACCAGCAAAGGCTTACGGCAGCTTGCAGTAAGAGACTCAAATAACTTATAAAACAGGGGAATGACAAGACCATAAAGCAATTTACAAGGCAACCTGGAGTATCAACATAAAAACAGAAACCTCCTAAACAATATTGCAGCCCACCTGTCTTTGCTAAACACCTGTCAGACCCTGGATACCAAGATAGATGGACCATTGATCTGACCCAGGATGGCACTTCTTATATTCTTATGATATAGAGATTCAGAATGAATAACATCATTATAATACATTTTATATTATTTCTAATAATTTAACTAGAAGTCCAGTCTCATCAGTTACTAGTTTTAAGTAGATAGATTTTAAAAAAATCATATATAATATACGGTCACTGGAAAGCCTAGAAATCAATTTTCCTGTTCTCTTCAGATGGTTCTGACACTGATGGTTGTTGGTACTTCAGACTCTGAACCAAATATTTGACTGGTATAAATCAGTAAAGTTCATTTGACCTCAGTTATATCTATATATCCTATATAAAGACATCATTAATGAGTGGAGTCCAGGATGAATTAATTTGCACACACAGATTTTTAAAGAGGCAAGGAAAGAGTTCCATATCCTTTGCCACTAAGGGTGACCTAATGCATTCGATTTTTCACATCAGTTTATTTATTATTGCTAGGATGTTTTCCCAAATCTTCTGATATTTACTAAATTCATCATTCATTCTACATAACAGTCCTTCAGAGGAAGTCTCATCCATGTATGCATTCTAAACTTGAGATCCCAGGGCCATCAATTGCTCAGCACTTACTCTGAGAAGTTGAACATCTCTTCTACCCTGATGTCAACAGGAGCTGAAGGAGCCTAGCTCTTTGTAACATGGGAATTCAATTGTTTGTGGAAGCAGATTTTAACATCTTTTGAATAAATGCTTACTCACAGAGTATCTGGTGCCATCAGTGCCTTTCTGTAATAACAGGGAGACTCCTAATCTCAATAAAGTGCTGCATAATAACCTTATAAAATTGTCATACAACCTACAGTGATCACTTCGGACTCAGATGTGATGAACATCTGAAGTGCTCTATTTATATAATAAAGAGCAGGAAGATTATATTAGAAAATCTGAATTTCCTAGCAGGTGTTAGCCCTTTGGAACTGGCGAATCTTAAAATGTGTTTAAAAATCATGAAGCTCCTCTCTGGAAATAAAAAAAAGCACTTACTTAACACTACAAGAATTTTACAAATATAATTTTCTTTTTACTGCTCATGCTGTTTGATTACTGCTTTCCATTCTTGTCAGTTTGGACAATAAGAAGAAACTAGTCAGTTTCACCTTTTTGCTTGTTGAGTTTCTAATCAATGTCAGTTTTAGGCACATTAGAAAGATTGTAACCAATGATTAGGTTACAAACACGGGAAAAATGTTTATATTAATAAACAGAATACAGACACTGTTTTCCCTAGGATATTTTTATACTTTTGTTGTGTATATGTCTTATTTTATATAAAACTTTACTTTTTTTAAATACTGTTGTTTTTTTTCTGGCAGTGCCTTTAAAATCTGGCTAGACTTCTGGGTTATAGGGGAATAGCTGGATACATTTGAGGTTAGATGAAGGAAATGTCATGAAGGAAAGTTCCAGTCATGACTCCTGAGAGCAGCCAGTCCATATTTGATGCAGATCACTTGCTCTTCCTAGGAATCCTTTAAGCCTTTAATCCTGCAGGCCCAACATGCAGTTCTTCCCGCTGCTACATGTTCCCACCTTGATCCTGAGGCCAAGAAACTGCTGAGACTGTAGGAGGCCCTGGCACAGTATCAGCAGTGAATCTGAGCAAAAAAGTAGGAACGGATGGATGGTTGGCTCAGGTGAGATTGAATAGTGAGAACAGGCCTCTTTAGCCTGTACAGAAGAGGGGCAGAGCAAAAGAAGCAAAGGGATCTACCAGGGAACTTAGAGAGGGGAGAAGATGAAAGCAGGGCAGTTCAGTACTTGCTGTTGGAAAAACCAGCTGTTCCCCTTAATGCTACAGAGAGTCAAAATCATGAGGGTGGTAGGGTTTTAAGTCCAGTTTATTTTATAACCTTTTCAAATGAAATGAATAGTACTTATTACATATCCAGTAAATTATTGACGACCCTTTCTTAAAGAAAAGCTCATATAATAAGTTCTCTTATATGGGACCTTTTATTATGCTGCAAATATAGATTTGCAGCATAATATAATGTTTCAGCTAGGGTACCAAGTAATGAACAGTTCATTTATGTCTGTACCATTACGTTGTCGTAATGTCTGCTGTCTCTGCCTTTAGGCTGGCTCTTGCATTTTTGGCTGTAGCGGTAAAAGCCCATCCAGAAATTAAAGGAATCTGTCAGATCTGTTCGTATAAAAGCAGTAGAGTCAGCAGCTTGATCACAAAGCAAGCATGTGTGTATCTAAGAATGTAGGAAAATCCAGAGACATCATTTAAATAGGTGAAAACAGAATATATCCCATTCAGTAGCTTCTATTTTAGAAATCTACGTGATTTAGATACACCCGCCTGTTATTTATTTATATG